ACGAGGGCCTGAAAGCATTTGAAGCAAGTCGACATTCAAAATGAAATGACCTTAGGCTATTTTTTCATCAAGTCATTGAGAAAGTGTTCCCAGAGAACGAAAAGCACTCGAACATGTCATTACTTGATCGATCAGACAGGCGACTCATAAATTATAACGTCAATGGGAGATGACAGATCCTTTAATATATTACGGTATTTTTTTGTATAATGTTTAATATAAAAATATAAGGGTACCTGTGGTCCTTAATAATAAGCCTATAGATTGGCCCAAATAGGGGGATTAGATAAGAAGCATGCGTTTTGCAATGAAAGTGGCTTAAGTATTTTTTGAGTCACTCTGTAGAATAAAACGTAGTCATTTTTGAAACATACTAAGGCGAATTGCAAACACACTTCTTCTTCTGATGTCCTCTAACCGCAGATCCTGCCTGATCTATGTAACGTGTTTTTTCGCCGTAAATGCAAGCATGAATTCTTTTAGTTTTCGCACGCGATTATGAACTTTTTCATTCGTTATTTTTTGAACTCGTGATATTTTACATATGTACATATGAAATGTGGGAAAGTTCTCTTCAAGATAGTGCTCCCAATTGCCTTTTTGCCTGCACTTTCCCAAATTAGGATCGATCCCACTTTTGCATTGGAAATTGCTTTTCTCGTCAGTTAACTGACGCCCCGCGCTCGGGCGCTGTCACAGCCCGAGAACAAGAAAAATAAGTTCGCGGGAAAGCCGAATATAAATACCCCCGGCGTCACCACCCGTGGCTGCGTAAACCGTTGCCGCTATTTATCTTTATGAAGGGCATTACATAAAAATTCGATTACTCACGAGGGAGCGTGGGGCGGCGCCTAAATACACGGACGGCGCAAAAGATCAAAACCACGCTATAATAGGAGTTTATTGCGCGACTGTGTCCATCGAAATGTAGAGTGGTTCGCACCATAGCGAAAACTAATAAAAATGAAACTTGTAGATTCCCTACTAAATATGGGAACCTTATTCACCAGCGCACAATTGTCTATAATTGCTTTCTTTCAACTTTTAGTAATGCGTTAATTTGATGATTTTGATCTTTTACTTACTAGGCCACTGAATTCTAGGTTGAAACACTATCCAGACCAGTTTTTTCCTTTTTGATAAGTTGACTCATAACCGAATTACAAAGGCTGTGTAAAGATGCAAAAAATTTAAAATTCACCCTGTATCTAAAAAATCGTGATTTCTGTTTATGGCAACTTTTATTTAAAAACAATATTCTTGGGTCACAAAAGCCGCAACACGTTGGTTTTATTAATACATGTTTCCATACATTGTAAAACAAAACAAGATGCTAAGCTAAAAGTAATTAGATTTGAAATAATTGGAAACGAAATCCCAATTATTGGACTTACGAGATTAGGAAAAAAAACCTCGCGTTCAATTTACTTTTGTTTTCCAAATATTACTCAGCCTAAACAAGTACACACGTGAAAACATACCGTATAAAATACCCAACATTTTGTCTTTTGTCTTAATTGCTGCCCCGAATGTTCTCATCCAATTAGGAATTCCTCACTCTCTTTTTTATTATTCTTCTTCATGTTTCGCGCGTTGAATATTGTTGTTCAGTGCATATTGTATCTCGGCCCTCCTGTCGTGACGATTTTATTTCTACGGGATCTAGCTTTAACGGATAAGGCTGACGGGTTCTGGTCCAGATTTTATTCGATTCGCTTGAATAATCGGATATATTATTGTCAGGATCAAAACTTACCAGGAAATACAAAATGTTTCAGTCCTACAATTTGGCTATTTTGTACCGTGTCTTCTCCCGGAGCATTTATTGATCCTAATGTAGGTTTGATTTTTGGATTTGGATTTTGAAGAAAATTGTATACCTATGTAGCATTATTTTCAACACTGCGCCGTTTAGTTATTTTTGACTTATGGTAATCGCCTGTATTTGAACGAGAACTCAAGAATCATCCTTTCAAAACAGATATTGAGAATAGATTTATTGCTTATAGGTAGTATTGGGGCTGATCAATTAACCACTTCTTAATTGACTTAATAATAACATGTATTTTTACCTAGAACTCTCTTCAAGGATTATCCGAATATGTGAATTAGTGATTCGGGGAATCCCAGTAGTAATATCGGCCCTATTTGGTTCCCAGAACGACGCGATGGTGACTAAACGTACAATTTAAATAAATATAAATTTCAAGGTATTTTTAAAATTATTTTGGTCAATTGACCGGTCAATGGACGTAAAAAAGTTTGATCGGCCAATTCCACAACCCTACTTATAGGATTACCAACCAATTGCATCATTTTTGAAGTTGCAGGACTAAGTAGTTAAATCAAAACACAGTTCTTTCCAGTTTGCCTAGATTTTGAGAAAGTTTTAAGTGCTTTTGTTTTATTTTTTACCTCAAAGAATTTAAGGTACTCTGGAACTTCGATTTATAGCTCTTGAATTTTCGCTTCATGACTCTATAAAAGTGTATTCCGGATTTGTGCAAACCAGGGAGGAATTATTGAGTTGTCTTTACTATGATTTTATTGATATGACCAGACGCACTTTGAAGATCCGTTGCGCGACGAATAGTATACAGAGTATATTCAGTGTGTAATTCATAATTTCATATACAAGCGAATTTCATTTTGTATTTAGTGTTTTTTTGTGTTCATTTAGTTTGCCATGTTCATTTAATTTATAAAACAAATGATGTTGCTATTTTCATACTGACATATTTTTTTTTATAACCGCTGTCCCAACAGTATCTGGAACTTTCTTTGCAACCTGCCCCAAATCGATTTATTAAAGCCACTGAATGTCAAAGAAACACAGGTAGCCTCCAATTTTATGAGTGCTATAAGTGCACAAGAATAATTTGTTTTTATAAATATTAAATCTTTGTTCACTGTTGGGTTAGAAAAAAGAGTTTTTGCATTTGTTAGAGCTGCAAAAGATGAGTCGTTTATATCTTTTAACTAATTCAAAGTTCTCGGCATATCATTTACAGTTTGCTTGTAAACGACATCAACACTACCTTTATGTACCGTTGACTCGTACGGTATGTTAAATTTACAATATTTTGTCAAAAATGATCTTAAATTGGTTTTTTTTAAGTTTTTTGAGTGGTATATTGGCTTCAATAAATGCCATACATAAGTCCTGATTGAATTGCGCATGTTCTCTGTTTTTTGGTTTTTCTTCAAGACAATGTTGTATTTTTCAAAGAAACTTCCACAGGCTACTGTAATACTTTTTACAAAGCTTCTAGATTCAAACCGATGTAGGTGGAATCCAGAAGCTTTGTAAAAAGTATTACAGTAGCTTGTGGAAGTTTCTTTGAAAAATTAGCTACTAATAATTTGCTTGAATACGTAATTTATATCAGTAATCTTTTTGTATACATAAACACATATATATCTTTCTTTTTTTACTATAAAATAACCGAGTAGAAAATTTTTATAAATACTTTGAAGTTGTTAACATTAGCTATCAATAATACGTAATTTATGAAAGCCAAAATTTCCTATTATACCAAAAGACTCCTTTATTTATTTACTATATATTAAAAAAAAAGTGAAATACAGGGTACAGCGAGTCAACGGTAGAGTAAAGTTCATTATCTCATTGGTTTCAAATATTATAAGAAAATTGGAAATATCACATTTATAGAGCGCAACGCCTTCTCTCGATGAGGTTTGAATTTTCGGTCATTTTCTAGATAGGCGGCATCTGCTCCGATTCCCCACTTTCTTGGAACGGAGACGGGGCCTGCTCAATTGGCTCGTTCATCTCAATACTAAAAATAAATTAATGTAATAAGAAATTGTTTTGTTTTATTTGTTTCTGAATTTTTCTACCCTTTTGGGGGTTTTGAGGGTAAATCGTTTGGACGGTGTTACTATTGCGAAATTATTTTAACTGTTCGATTTTTCTTTGAACTAAGCGATTGTGATGTATTTCTGGAAGTGACCATCTTGTGAATATAGAATTCCCTCTAATAATTATATGCTGGTTGGAATAAACATTTTTTCAAATCTCTCATTTAATGTTTTTTTTTTCATGTAATAACAAAAACTCTTGATTTGTTTATTTGCATGACATGATAATGTGTATTTGTGCTTCATTTTTAGAAACGAAAAATAAATGAATATTTTGGTATTCTTTACCCATGGGTTTAGTTGTCACAAAATATTTACATTAATGTGTAAAGAATATTTAAAAAAACGTAAGGACGAAAATTGTTTGGATTCACTTATACTTTTAAAATGTTTTATTGCTATATTGTCTTATTTTAAATATATTGAGGCGTTTTTTAATTCAACTTTGTAGTCTTATAGTTTCTGACATATTTTGAATTTTATGTCAGTATCTGTATCGATTTCTTTGACTGAAAGCTATTGTTATATATTTGAGGTTAATTTTCTTCTAGAAGGGACTTTGGATGAAAATATCGTAAAAACTGACTTTTTGTAATAGAAACACCCTTTCTTTATAATTTTATAGATTTTGATTTTTTTTTAAAAAGCTTCCACAGGCGACTATAGTACTATTTACAAATCTTCTTAATTCCTCCTGCCTCGGTTGTTGATCAATCGCATTTGCTGACGTTTCGCCAATCATCCGAATAAGCCAGCATGATGATTGGCCAAACGTCACCAACAATCGACTCAGGAGGAATCCAGAAGATTTGTAAATAGTAAGATTTCCTATATGAAAAATTTGGAGACTTCGAAATATTAGTTTTTCTATTGTAGAAATGCTAAGTGGCTATTATTTGGAGGCGAAACATGGCAGAAAAAAAAAAACAATCAAGTATTACGACAATTTATTATAAATCTTATCTTAACATATATAAACTAGTTTTTATATTTATTTCGTGTCTACAAATGTTTTTTTTTTATCAAAAACATTTGCTGAAAAATATCCAGATGGACAAAAACGCCCAAGAAATACTGTTTTAAATAATACTAGAAAAAATTAAAAATTTTAGGACTGCTCTAAAAAGGTTTTTGTATATTATAGTAGATATACATTTTTATTTAAAAAAACTTGTTTTTTTAATGTTTCAAATAACAAAGTGCTTTTTAATTTATTCTATTAGTAGTTTCTGTATAATTAATTTTTTTTTTTTTGGAAAAACGGTTAATTGACTTCAGATTTTTTTTATTAAAATAAACGTTGGTTGGCACAAAACTGTCAAACAATGATTTTCAAACCCATAGTAAGCCAAAGCAGTGATGTTTCTATAAGATTTACTTATTGTTTTTTCGCTATGTTTCGTCGTCACACCATTTTTACAACCAAAAATTTTTTATGGTATATTGTACTGTATCTCATCGCATAGCAATCGCATCTGTTCTACCTCCATACCTAAAACACAGATTAGACAGATAATAAGTAAAAACAATGAGAAAATAACGGATAGATTAAAAATTGCGAACGAGTTTAATAAATTTTATATTGAACTGGGCACGAAGCTGGCAGAAAAAATAGAACCACTCCCTAATTATCGAAATGATTTTCCCATGTTGGCAAATACAATGCTCTTTTGTAACGTAGATGTACAGGAAATTGAAAAAGTTATAAAAAAACTGCAAAAGAAAAAAGCTCCTGGATGGGACTGTATTAGAAGCGAGATACTAAGAGGGATTTGTTTTCAAGTATCCGAACCCTTAACGTTTCTTATAAATAATTGTTTTGAGAGTGGATGTTTTCCAGATTGTTTAAAAGTTGGCATTATTAAGCCATTATATAAAAATGACAACAGAGAAAAAGTTGAAAATTATCGTCCAATATCAATACTTTCAGTGTTTTCTAAAATTTTTGAACGGATACTTAAAACGCTGATTGTTAAATTTCTTGATAAATTCAATACAAGCTCAGACTTTCAATTTGGGTTTCGAAAAGGAAAGTGAACACATGATGCTATCAAATCTTTAACATCCCAAATATACGACTCATTAGATTCAAGTAACCCTTGCATGTGCGTTTTTTTAAATTTAAGCAAGGCTTTTGATACTGTTTGCCACAATAAGTTACTTGATAAACTAAACCGTTGTGGACTGAGAGGGAGAGTATTCGAGTTGCTGCTTAGTTATTTGTTCAATCGTAAACAGTGCGTAAGCATAAACGGTGTTTTGAGCGATATGAAGACAGTAACAAGTGGGTTACCACAGGGTACAGTTTTCGGACCGCTACTGTTTACGATATACGTAAATGATATGTTAAATTTAGACACCAATAGTACAGTTTTCAGTTTTGCCGATGACACTGTAATTTTTGGACGAGCAAAAACATGGCAACTGTTAAAGTTACAAATTGAGCAGGACTTAAAAACTCCCAAAAAGTGGTATCAGTATAATAAACTTACATTGAGTTTACAGAAAAGCAAATACCTACCTTTCTCATCCTACAAAAATCAGCTTCGAAACATCGGAAACCTAACAGCTGAAATGACAGAAATTCCGCAAGTAACAACGTTTAATTATCTTGGTATTATTATTGTTTGCCAGCTCAAGTGCAATCTGCAAATGAAATCTATAGTAGAAAAAAACAAACCACTTCTATCAAAATTTAATTATCTACGAGAATTTTTAAGCCGAAATCAATTGGAAAACCTATATATGTCATTAGTACAAACTCACCTCTCCTATGGCATCCTGGGTTGGGGCGGGGTCTCTGAAAATCACCTGAAAAATCTAAATCTGTTGCAAAATTGGTTTCTAAAAATAATTTATAGCAAACAAATTATTTACCATTCGGACCTACTGTTTGAGCAGAATGAAATTCTCGATATTCGTCAGTTATACTGCTTTAGTATATTAAAAGACATCCAAAAAGGACAAATTCTTGATCTTAATGCTAATCACACTTATCATACCCGGAACAGACAAAACAAGGACGTCTATCCCACAGTTAGAATAAAAACCCACGGACAACGATCATATACGTATTTCTCACCTAGGTTATATCACATGCTACCAACATATATAAGGGAACAAACCATCTTTACGAAATTTAAAAAAGATGTCAAAATATGGATGTTTCGGACGGGCAGACGACTTTTTGATGACCTCATTAACTTAAAATATCAAAGGTAAATAATACTTGAATTATCTTTAATCAAGCATAGTTTTTTTTTTAATTAAATCCTAAATTATGTATATTCACATGCCTAGTGAGTTAATGTTTTTATCCTCGTTTTATTTTAATTTTTATTTTTGCTTACATGTATGAGTAGATATTATATTACTATAAATGTAACAAATAGATTCTTTGTTTCGTTGTTATTATTGTAATTATTATTGTTTTGGTTTAATATTGGTGTTACGCATAAGCATTTCGCAATGCTTCAGTGAAACAAAACATTTATTCCACTTAAATCAATTTTATAGATTATGTTATTGTAAAGTTTAAATTGAATAAATGCTATTATTATTATTATTATTATATATAATAATATAATATTTTTAAAATATTAATGAATCTAAACAACGTTGTTCTCCAAGTTGTTTTGAGAATAATCCGAGAAAAGGTATCATCCTATAATAAACAGGCTATCCGGTACATATTTTGCTGAATACTGATGTATTTTTAAGTCTTTTTAAAGTAAATTACATAAACTGTATTCTTAATATATTCAGTTGAATTTCTGTATATCAATTTGTTTGCACTTTGGTCTGAAATTATTTCAGAGACTAGTTTATTATTATTTAGAAATATTTATAGAAAATATTGTTTCAACATCAAATAATAATATGTTAATAAAAATGGAGTAATTGAACACCGAAAACAACACAGTCTCCCATTTTTCTGAATAGGCAAGAAAAGGACAAGAGTTTTCGTTACTAGCCGTCCGTTTCTATGATAAAATTTTGCTCACTTTTTTTTTACCACGCCGGTGCCATTGCAGGTTAGATCGAGATCTAGCTACTGACACCATACGACAGGCTCACATCGAAGCGCGCTTTCAAAACCACAAAAATGTTGACCCGTCTATTAGTCCTTGCACATAGATACGCACGAGGGTCACAAATAATCGCGTGCCGGATTGCGTTTAGTTATTCCGGCATTACGATGTCGGCGTCGTCGGCTGCTCATCAGTGGGACGCTTGTGTACCGTTTGGATGTTTGAATAACCCTAATTAGGGATACGTGAAACGCGAACCGGTCCGCAGCAGCCGCCTCCGCGCTCCGCCGCCCCAGCCCATATCATTAGCTAATGAGAATGAATACGAGTCTAATTCAATCACCGCTTATTTATCTACGACGCGGTAAATTGGACCGCGCCGCGTTTCTAATTTGTTTAATTTCGTGATGGGACGGCGGCGGGACGCGCTGTCCGCCGCCGGAACCAATTGAGCCCTCCCGCCGTCATAATCAAACGGAACGATGATTGCCGAGCACTCAAAGTGACCATTATGGCAACGTAAACAGCGGTTAGTGTCGTTGCCCCTGATTGCGGAACCGTGAAATTTGTCCAGTTTGGAGATCGGTCGCCCTGCCTAATGTTGGAGTGAAACCAGTAGATGCGCACTGTGGTCTTCATGCGGCGTCAAAAGTAATGTCGAGCAGTGCTTTTGTTGTTTTGGTATGACAGGAATAGTCCGTTATATGTAGATTTATTAGGCTTTGTGAAATAGATCTAATTAGTAGGCAGATACTGGATGTAAACGTCATAGGAAGAGTCGAAAGAGTGGAAGTGTTGAATAAGTTCAGATATATTATTTAGAAATCTTGTGGACTCCTCGTGCGTCTGTGGATGATGAATCAAACTTGCCTACGTTTCGCCCATCATTCTGTTGGCTTCTTCAGAGCTTAACTGAAACTGGTTTGCATTCTACTCTGTATCTGCTTATATTGATGAAGAGGAAAGATCTGAGTCGTGGTTAAGATTGTTTCTTTGTTTAGAGATCGAATAAAATTTGATGTCCTGTTTCATGTTTATGTTTGGCAAGTGCTATGAGTTCATTTATCGTAGTCTTAATATATTTTCTTGGTATTGGTGTCGACAAAAGGCAAATTGCAGCAAAATGCATCGGATTATAGATCAATGCGGAAAATTAGTGAAATTTTCAGGGCCAGTGGTGTCAATTAAGATTAAACTAATAGCTTAATCAAGGTAAACGTAGCGGCCAGTTTAGGGTCAAGCAAAAATTATATAAATAAAAATCGCTTGCAGACGAGTGCACACTTAGCAGAGTTGGCTTCAAGGTTGGACGCTGTAATTTCATTTGGATTATTTTTAACAGCTAGACGGAGTTGGTACAAAAAATAAATAATAGACATTAAAAGAATATAATATTGCACAAAAACTTAAAACTTTGGGAGATAAGTACAGAAATGGCATATAAAAATGAAATAAAATATTCGAATTCCTCAATTGTTATTGTTTCCGGATAGACGTAAAGCCGGAGGATTCTTCCTCACTGTGGTATTTCGAAAAAAAATATTTTTTTATGTGATTGATAGAAAAAATGGACTTCTAATAATTTCATTATACATGGTAATTTATGAAACTGTTGGTCGTACCGACAGCATGTATTGAATCCCGATAGAATTTTTACTCGACACCCTGTATATGGGAGTAATTTTCAATTAATTATTGGTTTAAATGACATTCTGCAGCTCACTCTGTACTCAGGTTTTCAAGATCGTTTCCAGACTTATCTTGAAAAATAACTATGTTTTCAATCGCCTATATCTGTCAGAATATTTGTGGTAAGGTGCAAAATTGACTTTTTTATTCTACACTATATAATGCAAGCATTTTAAAAAGCACTTCAAAAAAAGTTCAATGAGCCAATACAAAAGTGAATTAAGACCAGCTAAGGCACCAGTATTTGATGGAGTGTACACCATTTAGAATGGCATTTACCGCTCGCTCCCAATACGGCTAATAGAAAAGCTGCAAACCTAACTACTAATAACAAGAAAAATTCGAGACTATTTGGATTTATAGAAACTAGTGAATTCAATGACTTGGGACACTACGATTGCAGCTATCATCAGACTTAATCTCGTTTTGGCGGCCTACAATATTAGTTTGCCCTTGCAGATGTTAATTGCCCCAAAAGCTTTCCATTACTGACACATACAGACACATATAATTACGAAATACCAAACTCATTAAGAAGCCCACATAACATAAATAATTTTTTCTGTGGAAAGTGTCGTTCCCAATGCAAATAATGGCATTTCTGTAAATATGAGGACGCCGATACCGCGGAAGCACTTGAACATGAATGATCAAATGCAAGAAATGAATAAACTATGCAGTCCTGTTATTGTCCCGTTCCTAACAACATATGTGCAATATCTGAGTCGAGACCCATCAGTGTACTGTCTGTAGTCTTTAAATTTTCAAATAACCAAATAGTTAACTTTTTACTGTCTGATGATCTGTTTCCCGACCTTTATCAGGGTTTCGCAAAGGAACGGCACGGGGCACGGGTTTTGATAAATTATTTTTACTGCAGATCGTGGAGAAATTTCCGTTTTGTTTTTGGCTTTGTAACGTACTTCTTGAATTTTGCATGTGAAACCTTCCCAATAAGATCTAAATATTTCTAGAGCTATGAACTCTGACGTGTAAATGGTAAACCTGGAAGTGCAACAGTTCACCATACCTACTCGCAGATAAAGGACCTACAAATTTTGATCTAGACGCGGAGAATTCCGAGTTTAACTTTTCTTCGTTGTTCTTGTTTGAAATTCGGTTTTGTGACTATAAGTGTTATTTGTATGTGAAACCCCTTAACTTTAATTAATTTATACTCTGAAATTTTGTAATATTTAAAATAATGTAATGTTTTTTAATCGGACACTCACGGTTCCTCTAGTTTTGTCCGCTTATTAGATGTGTCCGCTCATTAGAAGTGTATGAAAAAAAAAAGAAACATAAATCATAAATATGTGTGCTGACTCAATCGAAGAGAAATTTTCAGAAGTTACTATCGACACTGATAATCATAATTTTAGATCAAAGCGAGGTTCAGTTAACGGTGTAGGAATTATTTTTAAATCAATTACCGGAAATCTAGATTCTACAGACGGCAAATACTTTAGCTTTACTTTAACGAATGTATGGATATGCGGTGTCTTAAGTCTGAAGTATCCTAGAGAGATTTTTGAATTTGAATTGTGATTAAAAGTTTATTCGTCGATTTGAATAGTTTGAATTGCACAATTTAAATATTTTATAACAGATGATGTAACTGATATTTGATTTTTTAACAGCTGTTTGATTTCGTGTTCGTCTCTAGTTACATTATCTATACATTCATTGAAGTATTTGCCGTCTGTAGAGTCTAGATTTCCGGTAATTGATTTAAAAATAGTTCCTACACCGTTAACTGAACCGCGCTTTGATCTAAAATTATAATTATCAGTATCGATAGTAACTTCTGAAAATTTATCTTCGATTCAGTCAGCAATTCTGGTTAAAAGACTATAATGAGTGTGAATACTTTTTTTAAATGCTGTCATACGAGGACGAGAATCGCCTAACATTTCTGTGAGAGAGGATAGTATTTTATTATTGTGTCGTATAGTTTCTTGGAGAGGTTCTAGTTCCTTGTATACTAGCGGCGTCCATTTGTTGGTGGATACTCTTAAATTACTTTCTTTATGGTAGTTCAATAATTTGAGTTTCCTTAATATAAACTTCATCTCCTACATTATATTTAGTGATATTTCTGGAGATAGCTTGATCAAATTTTATTTTGGATTTTTATTTTTGTTGGATCAGTGCGTATACTCGCGACTCTATAATAATGCTGCATGTAATTATTTAGGTCCTGGATGTATTTGGTGATAAGTTGTTTTTCGTTATTCAGAATTTCTGGAGGCCTACTAGAAGTATGGCCAATATCAGTTCATAAGGGGAAAAAACCATGTGTAGCATGGAATGGATGTTCTTTCGGATAATGAGGCCTTATGAGCTCAGATCATTTCTGTGAGCGTGACGTCGAATATTTCTAGTGATCCATTAGATTGTGGCTTGAATAAGTGAGTTTTATGTCATACATTCATACGAAATGTGGTTGTACCGTAGAATACTTAAGGTAAAATGGACCGATAAAGCGACCAACATGGAAATCCTGAAGAGAATAAAAAAGGAAAAAGAAATTATCACTACGGTAAAAAAGCGTAAACTTCAGTACCTTGGACACGTCATGAGAGGAGAAAAGTACCAACTACTCCAACTGATATTACAAGGAAAAAATCAAGGAAAGAGAAGTGTAGGAAGAAGGTGTCACTCATGGATGAGAAACTTACGTGACTGGTTCGGGTGCACCACAAACCAACTATTTCGGTCGGCTGTGCCACGAATACGAATAGCACTGATGATTGCCAACCTTCGCAACGAAGACGGCACTTAAAGAAGAAGAAGATGTCATACAAAAGACAAAGTTTTCAAATTCTCGGTCATGGTCACAATGTATTCTAAGAGGAGTTTCAAAATGTTGGAAATGGAGAAGAAGGATAGCTACGACTGTAGAAGCTTGTTTGTCTTTTATTGGATATACCTGGGTGATTTTTGTAAGTTCATCTTTTATGGTAAGGGCGTAATTACGAACTGGGAATTCGAAAATATCGATATTAATGCGCTCAAAAGGAGGTTTGGGAGTTTCTGTGATAACTGATGGTGTGCTGAGCTTTTTACGGTAGATTTTGACTTTCTGACAGATATCTTTCGCCTCACATTCTATTATGATTTTGGACATTTTCGGAGTAGGTTGTCCAATCATATTTTTGTTTTATTCGCTTAACTGCATCATTAGTTCTGCTATGTAAATTGTTTATTTGTTATCGGTTTATTTTGCTTCCGGAAACAAAAACACGATAGGATTAATGGGTATTGTCATCAAAACAGGGCAAAGTAGTCAGAAACAGGCAAAACTTTATTTGTTTTTTGGAAAACTTTTCAGGGTGCTTTAAAAATGTTGAGCGCCCGGTACGAGTTTTGTATAAATAATTGATCTGTTATAGACTGTTAATTGAGCTTATGTCACCATATTAGTGGTATCAAATCTTTGGTCGAAGATTGATCAACAGTTTCCCGTGTGAGTGGGTCATTTCTACTAAAGAAAACCGAATATTTCACCG